TTGCTAACATTTATAATATAAAAATGTCACATGACCTATAGTTGTGCCAAGTTGCACTAGTTTACACCATGTGGGCATTTGGCATATATTTTGTCACATTTATGAACATCAAACTTTGCATATATTTTGCAATGTACCACAAATTTGCCACATGGTACACTTTTTCTATATCAGAAATTTGCCACATGGCATATATTAAGTAATCCAAAATGACTTCATGCTTTTTGTTGCATAAATATTTTTGTTTCAGGTGTCTTTGCTCTGAAAAGCACAAATTACCAAATGCCAAAACCTTTGTTTTTTTATCTTCAGGTGTCTAAGCTGGTTTCTTAATTATACATTATAACTCTGCTAATTAGATTAGCATACATATAAATTGAAAATATGGTAATGCTCTTCATTGATAATATTAAATTTGTTCTTAAAATAATCATCTTATCTCTTAAAAGACAATGCTGTTTTAAATTAATTAACTCTAATATTTTAAACACAACACAATAAACAAGTATTTAATAAAATAATTGCATGTCAAAAATTACGTTATAATAATTTTGTACTAACAAAAAAAGCTATATACCCCCCGAGTAACAGAAACCTCCAAATAAAGCATCAATTATATGTATGAGATGAGATGTATCAATGGACTTAATATACACACACTCTCTGAAACATAATAGGGTTTGCTTTTTTTCCTTTTTTTTATGAAATTTTGTTTTTTATTGCTTGTCATTTTTGGAAGCAACCAATGGAGACTTTTACGAAGAGCGCGCACACACACAAACTCCGTATTCTCTCTCCTTAGTAACTCACCATTCTCTCTCTCTCAGGTGGAGCCAAGTATATTGGTAGGGGGTCCTTGGCCCCCCTAAACTTTTTTGTTAAAACCATTATTCATATGGTTATTTAGTTGAGACTGGGTCAAAAACATAATAAAGTGGGTCCTTGCCCCCCTCCCCCCCAAAACTTGAACTAAATGTAATGACCTTACTTCTCAAACCATTTTTCCCCAAACCCTACTTCTATCCCTATCTCATTTTCTTGTTAAACTTGACCCTCCCAAAAGAAAATTCTTGGCTCTGCCACTGCTCTCTCTCTCATCTTTCTCATTAACTCCTACAATTACCTCTCCTCATTAATTATGTCATTAGCTCTCTATCCTCCAATGTTTTTTCGGAATTATAATTCTCAAAAAGTTATCTGAATTGATATTAAGGTCACTACAATCAAACAACCAAGCAACAAGTTATGGCCTCCAGACGTTTCAGTATATAACCAGAGACCCAATGACCTAGTTGAATTAGTCCATGAATTACACACTCTCGGTCAAATGGTTTTTGACCAAGTAAAGGCTTTTTAGGAGACAAAGATCTCAAAATATTTTTCCAAATCAATATAAAGATCAACCCAATTAAACAACCAAGTAAAAAGTTATGCCATCCAAAATTTTCAATGTGTGACCCGTGGTTGGACGAAATGGGTCAATGGATCAATTGCCCAGGTCGGATGATTTCTGACAAAGTCATGGTCTTTGGACATATAAAACTTGAAATTTTGCCCCAAAAGGATCTAAAAGATCACCCTAACCAAACAAACAAACAAAAAAGTTATTGCCCCCAAAAGATTCATTAATGGTTTTTAGGACGCATAAATCTTAAAATGTTACCTAGAATTAATATAAAGATAAGCCCAACCAAACAACTAAGCAAAAATTCATGGCCTCCAAAAGTTTTAATTGCTTCAGTCTCGACTTACACACTAAAACTTCTGAAGGCCATAACTTTTAGCTTGGTTGTCCAATTGAGGTGATATTTATATTGATTTTGGTCAACTTTTCGAGTTCTATGTGTCTCAAGTAGTCGATCCATTGACTAGTTCGACAAATCATTGGTTCACAGGTTACACAATGAAACTTCTTGGAGCTAAAACTTTTTGCAGTTATCCAACTATGGTGATCTTTTTATCAATTCGAGGTAAATTTCAAGATCTATGTGTCCTAAGGACCATTAACTTTGTCAAAAACCTATTTGACTCGGGTGGCTGATACAATGACTTGTTCAACCCTATCATCAAGTCACATGTTACACACTTTGCGTAATTGCTCGACTAAGTTGACCTAAATATCAATTTGGAGTAACTGTTTAAGATCTATGTTTCTTAAAAAAACATTGATTTGGTAAAAAAAAATCCAATTGTGGGAGTTAATCTATTGACCCATTCCCTGCTCACTAAATCTCAAGTTACATACTCAAACTTCTAGATAGGGGTGTAAATGGATTGAATTCGAATCGGATCAGGTAATATCCAAATTTGAATCCGATTAGAAAATCTGATATCCAAATTCGATTTGATGAAAATTAATATCTGAATTCGAATCTGATTAAATATTCGATTCGAATTTGATTAATTAATTATTTTAGATAATTAATAAATATATAAAATAAATATTTTAGTGATATAAAGTATGTAAATTATTTATATAACTTAATTATTATATATAAATTATATAAAATATTTTATATAAGAATTAAATAATCAGTCGAATTCGGATATTTATCGAATTGAATCGGGTCATATCTGAATTCAAATCCGATTAACTATCCAGTAAGAATGGGATATCCAAATTTAACCGATTAGATATTCGAATTATCTGAATTCAATTCAATTATATCAAATATTGAATTTGAAATCGAATTTTTGAATACCGTTGACATCCCTACTTCTAGAAGCCATAAATTGTCGCTTGATTGTCCGATTGGGATGATCTTAATATTGATTTGGGAAAATTTTGTGTGGTTTACGTGTCCCAACAACCTTTGACTTGTTCAAAAACTGTTTGACCTGATAGTTATTCTCTTTACTTATTTAACCTGATCATTTGATCACAGTTACACATTGAAACTTTCAGAAGGCACCAACTTTCATTGGGGTGTAATTAACGATAACTTTTTGAGAAAGAGATTAAAACAAGTGTTTTTTTTTCCTTTTTGGAATATTTGATTTTTTTTCATTCCATGTCATTTTTACAAACAACCAATATATACTCCAATTCCCATCTATTCTCTCCTCCAACCGTATCTTAAAAAAAAAAACTCCCATTTATAGTCTTGATTTATAAAAACTTCTAAATTATCTCCAACGCTTCTCTATTCTCTCTACTTTCTCATAGAAATAGGACCTTAGTAAGATTTGGTTTAGCAACTAACATGAGGGTCAACCAAACTAATTAATACAACTATCTATAGTTTTATATATTACGAGAGACATAGATCTTGAAAAGCTACTCCAAATCAACATAAAGATCACCCTAATAGGACAATCATGTGAAAAGTTATGGCCTCTAGAAGTTTTAGTATACAACCTAAGAATTGGTGATCGTGTTGAATGGATTGTTGAATCAACTGCCCAGGTCAAATGTTTTCTTGAGAAAGTCAACAATTCTTTGGATACATAAATCTTGAAAAGCTACTTCAAATCGATCTAAATTTCACTAAATGAGCCCACTAAGTGAAAAGTTATGGCCTCCAAAAGTTTCAGCGTGAAATCTGTGACCTAATGATCAGGTATAACATGTAAACAAATCAACTGCCGGGGTTAGATGATTTCTGACCAGTTTAATAGCTTTTGGGACACATAGATCTTGAAAAGTTATCTCAAATTGATGCAAAATTCACCAGAAATGAATCATTGTGAAAAGTTATGGCCTCTAGAAGTTTTAATGTGTAACCTATGATTTGATGACCAGGTAGAATAGGTCAACAAATCAACTGTTGGGTTAATAGTTTTGGGGTCACATAGATTTTGAAAAATTATCCCAAATTAATATAAAAATCACCCCAATTGGACAACTGAGCGAAAAGTTAAACAATTGAAAAGTTTTAGTGTATAACCCATGACCAGGTCGAGTGGATTAACATATCAATTATTGCCGTCAGATATTTTTAACCAAGTCAATGATTTTTGGGACACAGAGATCTCAAAATGTTTTCTTTAATTGATATAAAAGATAACTTTTATAGGTACTTTTTATATATGAAGTCATACTAAACCTTGGTTGCTTTGTTTTCTATGCAACACCTTGACAATTATGTGGCACCATATATAAGCCTTGTGATATTTCTTTAGTGCATGATTTCATGAGTCCACTTATAGTAATATCTAATGTATGGTGCAGAGTACAAAATGACTATTTTCAACCATTGAATCTAGTGTTCTAATGGGATTCATGCCGTTGGTATAAATTAGGAAAAGAAAAAAACCTATTCATTGGCACTTGTAAAATATGGGTCCTATTCAACAATACGCTGAAAATACATACAATTAAAAACATGTTTTTTTATTCTTTTTTTATTTTGAAAAGTGAAAATAAGATGATTTTGTTTCTAAAAAAAGTATTACATTTTTTAAATCACCAAAATTATATTTAAAAAAATGAAAAAGAACACAATAGAAACATATTTCTGTATTTTTTTCTGTTTAGAGAAACAATATGTATTAAAACCAGATGATTTCGAGACAAAATGTTTTTACTTCATCTCATCAGAAACACCTTAAGTGATGTTCGGCACCGGAGTGTTTCACAGGTGTGGTTCAATTCACAAGTGATTCGTTTTACCTATTTTTTTGAAAAACATATAAAAAAAAAACCAGGATGCAGGTTAACTGAGCGATTAAAGCGATTTGATCTATTGATGAAAAGTGTATGATATCTCAAAAAGTAGTCAATTTTTTCAAATTTCAACGTACCTTATCATCAAGACGATTCAAACAAGGCTATCAAATACCTTTTTTATCGATTCCATTTATTTGCTGATGTGGCATGCATGACACATTAACAGAAACAGAACGCTTGTGAAATGCAGAGACTGAAGTGAATCCTCAATGAACCCTGTTTTCTATCAGTCCAGCCATAGTAACCGAAAGATGGACCACTCTATAGGCCCATGTATAGACAGGCAAATGCCCAATAAAAAGCCCATGAAAAGACCATTATAAATATTAGGAAAAAGGAAGGAAAGGCAAAAGCAAGGCCGGCGGCAGCAGCGAAAGCTGCACAGTGAGTGCAGATGTCGAGAGAGAGAGAGAATTCATTGCAGCAGATGGGAGAGAAGGGTGGCATTGGTGGTGGTAGCGATAATGGGTATTGGTGGTGGGCCGTCGCAAGTTCGGCCCAATTAACTTTGGCGATCTCCTCTTACCGGAAAGGCTACGTCGGCGATTCATGTTTCATGCCCTTCAAAGCCTTCTCCGTTGCCTCCCTCTTAGTCGGTGCCGGAGCAACCGCTGTCGCTGGGTTTCTGCACGCCTCCGGCATTCGCACGGTACTTGATTTCTTCTCTCCTCTCTTTATCTTCCCTGGGCCTTGAGTCCATTCTAGCTCGGTTTACTGGGTTCCAGGTTCCAAAATCTATGAACCCTAATCCATAATCCGACGATGTTCATTTAACAATCTGGTTTATGCATATTTAGAGATTTTCTCAACTTCGTCCAATTGGGAAGGGAGTAGGACTGTAGGAGTAATTTCCCTAACAGTTGGCGTAAAATGTTTGCAGGTAGAAGACCTGAAGGAGGTGGGGGGAAGCATAAGGAATGGATTAGGGATTCCTCCACGAGAAGCCAAATAACTAAGAGCACTCTCTTGTTTTTGTTTTTGTTTACAGTGCAAAGACTGAGACATGCTTTTGAAAAAATCAGTGACTCCCCAATTCCTCAAAATCATTAATTTTTTAGGAAATACTTTTGAGGGTTTGATTCATACAACCTAACACCCAGTCACCCACTAGGTTGTTTGAAAGGGGAATCTGAAAGAGAAAAAGATTTCCTATTGACATATATTTATTGGTTTAGAGAAAAGAACTTTTGCAATAGGATCCAGAAAAAAATTAAATTCATGCAATACATGATATGATTGTGATACAGCTATAGTGTCTTTGTTTATGGTCTTCTATGATGGAAAAAAAAAGTTTATCTGTCAGTAGGATAGTTTCCAACTTCCCATCAACCAATTAGATGGGAGAAGTGATAAAAAATGGAGATGTGAAACTCATTCAAGTAAAAATTTAATCAGAGAGAGACGGAGAGATTTTCAGTGTTTTCAAATTGTGTAAACGCATCCCTAACTACATAAGACCCCCTTTCTTGAAAAGTCAAAAAATCTAACCCAACATAAATGGATCCATTGTGAAGTTGTTAATTTGGTTAATTTATTCATTTATTTGTTTGCTGGGCCTGGGGAAAAGGAAATTCTACCTATCAATCAGAATTGAATAAATTTCTATTTTAAAGGTATTGAACTTTGAACCAGACCATTCAGCGCAAGGTTCAAAGTATTGAACTTTGAACCAGTGGCTTTTCAGTACGCCGCCCCTAGGGTGGAGGAGCCCATATCAAGCATATCGATATTTTGAACTTTGATTCAGCTTAAAAATCGTCTATCAATTTCGTTTTATCTTAAACCTGTTCTTTGGCCAAAATTCATTAAATTGATCAACAACTCACTGATTTGAGTGGTCTAACTGTGAACCTGTTCGACCCATTCAATGGTTTTTTAATCATTTTTATTTTCATTTTTCATTTTTTAAGTTGGAATGGCCATTTATTTGAACAGGACAATTAAACTGTCAGCCCAAAAACCAGTGGCAGAACAGTTCTAATTCCAGGTCAATTTTTAAAATCTTGAAATTAACCAATCATAATGGAAAATGCAATCAATCATTCAATCTGAACGACCAGTTTGGTTTGGGCCTGAAACTTGGCAGGCATTCCGGTGTCAATTTTTATCAGACACAGCTCCAGAACCATAATTCTAAAAACAGAATTTCATTTAGCTTCTACTTGGATGTATTTAGCAGCCAAGTACATTATAGACCTTTTACAGTTGAATTGTATGCCTACTCGCTCAAAATTAGGGCCAATTCACTGGGTCTTTTCATGCACAGTACGAGACTTCTTGCTAATGTCTAGAGACTACGCAATTTCATCATCATACAGAGCAGCCATGTAAACCTTATATTTACACTGTCAGCTCTGTTTGGAGGGAGTACAAAACTACAAATACAAAGATGTAGAGTGCAAAACTTTATATTTTATATAATTTTGTATGTATTTATATTATACATATTTGTATTTGTATTTATGCTCTTTCCAAGGCTCAGTTTGGAAGGAGTTCAAATATTTTATGGTTTACACTTAGTACAAATATAAGTATGTACAGTGCAAATACATACAAAATACAAGATTTGAACTCTACATATTTGTATTTGAACTCCTTTCAAACTGAGCCTTATAATGTGTTTGGTTGCAATGCAAATAAATTTGCACCGATGCAAAATTATAGCAGTGTAAATGATTTGAATGTAAATTCTGACCTATTTTTGTTTCAAATTTTGTTTGTTTGCAATACAAATAGAGTAAATTAAAACATGAAGCAAAATAAAGTAAAACGCTAAAACCCAAAACAAAACTAAACAAAATTTTGCATTTTTTCATGTACACTCCCATGCATTTGTACTAGTGCAAATAAAATTGCACTGCAATCAAACACATTAAGTACAAGAAACCAAAGATAATTTACTATCGCCTCCTTCCATAAGTTAAATCCAAAAAGAAAAGCCAAAATATCACCCCACTATTCACTTATAAACTCACTCAAGCCGTGGTTTAAAATATCAATCTATATTTTAACTTACAGGTACACCACACGAGTGAAATGGCTTAAACTCATTCTCACTTCACCCATATCCAGAGTATTGGCTGATACACAACACAATGTATCAAACCCAATCTTCTAGCTCATAGTTTTCTATAACATAAAAATTGTTGGGCCAATGAGGCAATGACCATATTGGCCTACAAATAATGAGACAACAAGCAAAGTAAGGTATGAGAGAGCGTGTAGTCAATAATAGAAATTTGAATTTCAATCTTCAAATAGAAATTATTGAGAACTTGGACATATTAATGGAATGGTAATGAGTCAAGGCCATTCCACTCATGGCCCATGCCCCATGTATAGCTGATATATACAAGGCAGAAATATCCATAACCTTAAATCTCTGATCTTTTACAGAAAGTTTGATGAAATCATTGTAAATGTGTGGGCAATGGTATCTTCAGGAAAGTTTCAAGTTCCATTTAAAGAAAAAAAAAAACACAATTTCAGGTGGTCTTAGAGAGAGAGAGAGAGAGGACCAACCAATCATTTTCATAAAAACACAACATCACCAAATTGTCTTCAATGTCCCTCAATAAACCAGCAACATCACGACACCTGTAACAAAAATACAAAATAAAGGCAAAGCAAAAAGGGGCGTTTATGGGTTAAGCGTATGTTCATTTATCCTGAACTCGACCTTATGGGCTGACTAAAGCTTATCCAAACAAGGCTAGTTAGTCACTCAACCTGATCCATCGCCATCCTCACCATCAAGCACCAAGTTGAAATCCGCTGTTGGAGTCATTTAGAGCCTGTTCGTTTCCTCTTAATTCTTATCTTTTAAGGCTACGTTTGGTTTGAAAGAAAATGTAGGGAAAGAAAGGAAAATGTAGGAAAACCTATACAAGGTTTGTAAAAGTTTCTATACTTTTCCCTTCTTTTCTTTACTTTTTCCTTCAAACCAAACATAGCTTAAGAGGAATCTTTTAACTTTAAGAGAAAAATTGTTATTTGTTTCCTCTTATCTCTTATCTCTTAAAGTGCAATCATACAACTTTTTGTTTTTCAATGATACCCCCAAAAAGACAAACAAAAACTCTCATATATGGGGTCAAAATGGATATTTAATAATTTTCAGAATTCAGAACAACATTCTCTGCATTCAGAGTTCAGAGAAAATAAAAATTCACCAATACCAATATACCTCTTAATGTAATTATTGCACTTTCAGTTGTCAGACTTCAAAACAAACGAACAGGCCCTTATTGTTCCAAAACAAAAACCACCGACTCAGAAAAAAAAAATGAAAAAATGAAAACAAACATGCACCCAAACAGGGTCAATACATGTTAAGTTACAAATTTCATCCCCAAATAAATTCCATAAAAAGAATAAGGAAATCATGTATCTAAGTTGAGGAAGTGAAGGGTAAAACCTGCAGCAGCCTTAATGAAATCATATCAACTTCTTAAGTAGAAGTAAATGCCAAAGATAAACCTTCAAAAGAGGTGAGAAATGAAAGTTAGCTGGGGCATGTGACAAATTTTGGCACCATGAAGCCCACATAATCACCAGTAAACTCCATCCATCCGCATCTCAGGCTGGGACATAAGACTCTAACATCAATTGTGCAGGTGAACGTGATTTTATCTCTACAATAAGACATGTGAACTTCCACTGCCTGTCAACCTTGTCTTTAAACATCTCACTGAAAACCTTGCCAGCTCCATGGGGCCCACGAATATAAAAGTTAACCTGTGTAGATTTGGTTCACAAATAACTATAAAAAAGTGTTGCATCCAAAGGTTCTGAAATTTCAAGTAAGCAGTTACCTCAACATGCTCTATACCATCTTCATCAGTCCATGTCCTATTAGGAATCCGTTGCCGAGCAGACCGGTTTCTGCTTTCTGAACCATAGCCTGTAACAGGGGATCCAATCCTCACTCTAACCTGATAAAATACAGATTGAGACCATGTCAACAAGAAAACTGCACATCCAAAGGTAAAATATAACATCCAATGTGTAATCGTTCATATGTGTCTTTAGGAGCTGAAGCCATGTTGTAAATTGCATAGCAATACAAGTATAGCACGCTAGGGTAGAAGGACAAAAGTTACAGCCTTGGCAATTCTGACACATCAAATTGCATAGCCAGCTAAACTAGACTTCTCTTCTCAAACCATTCACCACATCCCTTTTCTGAAGACAAAGTAGAATAATTAAAAGTAACTAAACATCCAGTTTAGATCATCCGTTTTCTGAAAATGAAGTAGAGTAATTGATTGCTACTCCTCCCAGCCACGTTTGCTACCAACCTGTGGCATTTTGAGACTCTAATTACATAAGAAAGCATTTTACATACCATAAACACAATGCACAACATGCTAAAAGTACAGAGTACACGTATAGGTGTCACATTTGATAAGATAAAATACAGTCCTTCCATAACATTATATATGTACATGCTCAAATTCTCAAATTCAACCATACATTGGTTGAGCCCTAAATGGTACTATCATTTACATTGACTTAGATTCAAAATTCAAGTTTTGTTAAAATCACTCCAGACTTATATTTTTGCAATTAAAACTAAATTAAAATCATAAGTGAAAAAAAGGACTTTAAGAAGAACTGCATGCCTTTCAACAAACCTGGCTGTCATTCTGGACCCTTTCTAAAGCCTTCCCAAAAATCTTGTATCTACAATAGATCATGGATTTTATATTTGAATCAAATCAAAACCAAATTTTTTAACAAAGAAAATATAATAGCCAAGGGATCTTTTATCTTACTCTTTGGGCTCAAAAATAAGCTCTTTAAAAACGGCATATGCTGCAAGAGCAGCAACTCCAACGCCTGCAAGTATGATAATACTGTATGAAGCACCCTCTGCAAAAGTCACCGGTTTTTCTGGGATATTGTATGTAGGGGCATCAAAGGGATCTTCAACTGTCGATATGTCTTTTCTAGTTTTCTGGAGGAAGGGCATAAAAGGAAAAGACGCTTTAATAAAGGTACAAGGCCTACAGCTGCTTGTAACATAATATAAGAGAATATGAAAATGCAACAGATTGTTAAGGTAATTCAATTGTCTTGATCCTCACATAAATCTTTTGGGTAAGGATGTTTATGTAATAGTTAAATCACAAGACAATTTTTTAAATTGTTGAGTGGAAATAACAAATGAAAAGTGAGTGAATTAATGACATGCATATGTTTTTGGTAAAGGAATTAATTACATGTATCATACTGAAATAAAAT